TTTGAAAAAAAATTGCTAAGATATCTTTTAATTTTCTTATATACTTTTTCTTATGTATTTTTAAAATGTCAAATTTAAACCATCATGCAGTAGTCATTTTCAGGATAACTTTGTTCAGTTTGTGATTTCTAATTGGATTATGTTAAAAATTTTGCAGAGCTGATTAGCTGATATATTCCATTTCAAAGATTGTTGAGATAGTGTATACACTGGTACAATCTTGCATGTGTATTTTGGGAATAACTACATATAGGTAGCTGCTTTACATTTTTCTCACATTTCAGTTCCTTTTCCACGCTTTGAAGATATACATGACTAGGCAAGGGAGGTTATATGCAGTAAAAAAAACACCCAAAAAACCAAAAACCCCAAACCTTTGTAATGTGGTAATTTACTTGCTTATAATCTCTTTTGCTCTGTTCTCAAAATATGAAAAGATCCAGGGCAAGAATTCAGTCTTCATCTGTTTTTAAACCATAATTTTTCTTTGGTTGTGATCTCTTTCCCCAGATTTAATTATGAACGGATTTAGCTAGAAATATTAAGTTGGAAGTCCTTATTCAAAATCCTTATGCTTAATTATGCATACTCTTTCCTCCACCTCATAAAACACCTTTTCTTATTCATGGTTTTATTTATTTCTCAAGTTTCACAGTTCTGATCCTTTCCTTTCTCTCTCTCTCTCTTTTTTTTCTATTCCTACTACTATCATTTCCATGCCAGGTAGTTAGTATTTCAAGCCTATGTTGTAAAATAGCCCTCAGTTTGGTCTCACTGATTTCATTCTCCTCTCCTTCCTTCTCATACAATGTGTACATGTCTGTTTGTTTCCTTGACCAAAACACCCATTTCGATTCTCTCTTATACAGAAATCTTGACTGGCTTCTCAATGTTTTTTTAATCAGGTTCAGATTCTGATGAATAGTATGTCTCAATCTTCAGATTTGGCTCCAGTAAATCCTTTTTGCTGAACGTGTCTTCTGTGGCTCTGACACTTTCCCATTGCCTGTATGTTGCTCACATCATTTCCACCAACTGGAATTTTCTAGCTTCCTGGCTATATTCAGGAAGCCTGCTGTTAACTTCTCTGTCTCATAGTGGGCCATTTCCTTTTGGGTGCTGAAAGCATTTATTATCTCATTATTAACTCATTTCTATATAATTATATAGCCTTTTTTTCCCCATCCTGTGATCTTATTTTTAAAATTCTGTGGACTGTTCGGTTATTTAACTGCATTAGGACAAAAACTCTGTTCTCCAATCTCTGACCCCTTTGCTCTAGTTATAGGTACACGTTAAGAAGGTTTAATGTTGTGGTCAGTTTTCTTGGATCTTGCAGAAGTACAGGAAACTGGGGACATTTGTAGATGATATGAGGCCTTTGGTGATCTATAGGTTGATCCAGATTTGCTGTAGTTTCTTAGATAATATTGGTCTTACCTTAGAACAGGGTTAATTTTCTGGATTGACTCAGTTTTCTAGAATGTGAGGTAGAGTTGTTCATTTTTATGGACTTTATTTTGGAGTACGCCTTTCATCTATGCAGTGACTCTAAGGAGTGTCAATCTAATCTTTCCATCCCCGGCTCTCTCTTTTCTTTTCTTTTTTCTTTTTTCTTTT